AATAACTCATACTCAATATTATTCAGTATCGCCCTAAAGAGTTCAAAAGAAGTGTATGACTGAAGGTTGAATATTTCATACTGGTAATTGTTACTGTACTGCTAAATATTTATGTTCAAAATCAAAGCTGCCAGTGGGCGTATCTTACCTTGCCTGGCAAGCTATCTCTATGATTATTGAAATTCTACAAATTTGACTATGAAATCCACATATATTAATGATTTAACATTAGCAAAAGTTTGACTCATAATTCATGATCATAGAAAAATAATGGTATCTAACTTTATTTCAGTGTACCTGGATCTAAAAAACTTCATAATTTGATCAACAAATTGAAGAAATGGATCAAAATTCTTGAGGCTAAAACCAAATTATTACCAAAGTAAGAAACATTATTGCTTTTAAGTTTTGTCAAAGTCTATATTATAAATGAATCAAAAGGAAATGAATTAGGTTTTTACGGAGCCCTTAAGGCGCAATTTTCATACTTTTATCAAATATTTCGTTTAAACGAATTAATTACTTTGTTAAAACAAAATATTTTATAAAAGTACGGAAAATTGCGCCTCAGGGGCTCCGTAGGATTTAAGTTGTATTTTCTTCATGATTGGGGTAATCAAGGCAATGCATCAGTTAGGCAACATTAACTCTTTTAGATTTCCAACTGTCGAGGGGTCTGTCACTTCGTCACCAGCCTGTAGCGAAAAAAAAACAAAAAGGAGACTTATTCCTTCAACCTGTGTCACTGACAGGGTCAAACCAGGTCATACAATTTGAAGGTACGACTTCAGCCTGTGCAGGTGATTTTTTGTAGGATTATATCAGATATTTTGCTGATCAAGATTCTTATCTTTTGTTTTTTTAGGTCATTCCTTATTGAAGAAAAATGCCGATTTTTGAGTAATTTTTCACTAAGTTTGGTGGAGGTGGAATTACCAGGAGAGTTTCTTTTACCCAAGGTACATTGTTTTTCATTGATCATCTAAAGCTAAGATTCCATATAAGAGTCATGCAGATCTGTCATGCGTCATCCGTCATGCGTTAAAAATGGAAATGGTTGGTTTAAGAGGGTATGATTCCATATATGCGGAAGCAGTATCCGTCAAATGGTCTCCGTCACGCATCAAAACAAAAAAAATTCGGGTGTTGCGATTTTTGACGCAACCGGGCGCCTTTCCGCGTGGAGATCTCCCAAATGTGACGTATTTTGTGGGGATTCCCTGTCTTTTTTATGCACCAAAGCATCCATCTGTCTAAAAGTCTGTGCGTCCAAAGAAAGATAACGCATACGTTTAACGCACATATGGAATCATATTTGACGCATGACGGATCCGCAAGGGCCATTTATGTCCGCATGACGCGTATATGGAATCTTAGCTTTATTCATTAATGTCGATGAAAATGACTTGATATGTGATGTGTACAAGCGCAATTGAATTACAGCATGGGATGATATAGGTTAGAAATTTCGTGAGAATGGATTAATTGCCGACAAACATTTTGGGAGACAAAAAGGGATTAAACCTGGGCCAGTGCTTTTATGGGGCTATCATCATCTCACATGTTTTACTGTCATAATTTCAGCATAGTCATTATTATGTGAGAATAGCAAGGTTCATGCCGCGTGTGGAAATAGTGCAGAAACATAATACAGCAGCTAGAAGATTATATATTAGAGGCCATAATGGCAAGGTTAGTGACTAATATACTGACTAAATTAAGAGTCTGGTTATCTGTAATGGGCCAGCCAGGTGAGCCAAGCTGGCTGGGTTACCCGGGTTCAAGGTTGTTTATTTATTTTTTTGTCAGTCGGACATTTTTCACCAACCTGTGAAATTTGATCTCAATTTCAACTTGAGAGAAGGTCTACTATACCATGTTCTACAGCACCGGTATTGTCATGATGTTTGGCCAAAGAAAGTTCAACTGTGTCATTTAACCAACAGTTCTACTTTATCACTAATTATTATTACTCTGCCAGGCATGACATGGAAAAAGTGTCTAGTCGTTCGGATGGGACAATAAACCGAGGCCCTGTGTGCAACAGGCTATGCAGTTGGAAATCGAAAAAGAGCAGGCTAATGGCGCTGTCGTGGCAAAATTTCCCTCATTGCACCCTGCATGGCGTTGCCCATCTTCATTAGCCCACATGGTGCAGAAAAGTAGGACGTAAAACTCCATTCATTTCATTTCATTCATTGTTTAATTTGAATAAAACTATTGCCTTTGGACTATATTTTGATATTTTTTGTTTTGTTTTCTAGATCTACCCATACCTAGTAGTAAATGATGCCTGTTTAACAGAATCAAGAAGAGAAGAGAGAGTGTTACAATTATTACGAATGTTAAACCATTTCCTGATGAAGCAAAAGGTACAAAATTTGTCTGTATTGGGCCACACATATTCTAGGTCACTTATCTACTCAACCAGTAAAATGCATTTGATCAATTTGTTTTGCGTTTTAGTCAGTTTTAGGGCCAATGGGACTTGTAATCCACTATTAGGCCATACAAAATAAATAGTCTGTTTTACAGGCCTAAAAATGCCTGATTGTTGCCTTAATATTAATTGTACATTAAATTTGTGGTAATAAATAATAAATGCTTTGGCATGCTCCGATTTATTCCAGTTGAAAATCTAAAAAAGCGCTTATGAAAAATAAATAATAAATTCGCCCTCTCGCCCCGATTTTTGAGAAAAAAAGATCTGTAAAACAGACTATTTATTTTGTATGACCTTGTGGGTATACTTATAGTCTGACAGTATTTTGTCATGTTAGATATTTAAGCACCTCTGACCATCAGCCAATTAAAAAATATTGGACATTCAATAACGTCTGGGAAACTTCTGAAAAAATCGAATTTTTTTTTTGTCAGTGTCTATAATGAACACCCACAGTTTCACAAGGTTTTATGGTAGGAAATGTGCATTATACAGGCAAATATAAAACTTAATTTCGTTGTATTTTTTATGCCTAAGATTTCTTCCAATATACATTTTCATTTACTTATGATATTGCAGGAAACTTGTCGTAGATTGTTATACATCACTGTACCCAGAGTTATAGCTGTTTCACCACAGATGAGATTAGTAGAAGATAATCCTGCTTCAATATCATTACTAGATATATATAAATCAGTAAGTATCAATAATAACTTCATTATTATAACTAGATATTTACAAATCAGTAAGTATCAATAATAACTTCATTATTATAACTGGATATTTACAAATCAGTAAGTATCAATAATAACTTCATTATTATAACTAGATATTTACAAATCAGTAAGTATCAATAATAACTTCATTATTATAACTAGATATTTACAAATCAGTAAGTATCAATAATAACTTCATTATTATAACTAGATATTTAGAAATCAGTAAGTATCAATAATAACTTCATTATTATAACTAGATATTTAGAAATCAGTAAGTATCAATAATAACTTCATTATTATAACTAGATATTTACAAATCAGTAAGTATCAATAATAACTTCATTATTATAACTAGATATTTACAAATCAGTAAGTATCAATAATTACTTCATTATTATAACTAGATATTTACAAATCAGTAAGTATCAATAATAACTTCATTATTATAACTAGATATTTACAAATCAGTAAATATCAATAATTACTTCATTATTATAACTTAATGTTTACAAATCAGTAAGTATCAATAATTACTTCATTATTATAACTAGATATTTACAAATCAGTAAGTATCAATAATTACTTCATTATTATAACTAGATATTTACAAATCAGTAAGTTTCAATAATAACTTCATTATTATAACTAGATATTTACAAATCAGTAAGTATCAATAATTACTTCATTATTATAACTTGATGTTTACAAATCAGTTAGTATCAATAATTACTTCATTATTATAACTAGATGTTTACAAATCAGTAAGTATCAATAATAACTTCATTATTATAACTGGATATTTACAAATCAGTAAGTATCAATAATAACTTCATTATTATAACTGGATATTTACAAATCAGTAAGTATCAATAATTACTTCATTATTATAACTAGATATTTACAAATCAGTAAGTATCAATAATTACTTCATTATTATAACTAGATATTTACAAATCAGTAAGTATCAATAATAACTTCATTATTATAACTAGATATTTACAAATCAGTAAGTATCAATAATAACTTCATTATTAAACTTTAACCTTGTTCCAGTTACTTTTATTGAATAGTAACTACAAATCCATTATGAAGATCTTTAAAATGAAAAATACATATTTCAGCCACACTAGACATTTTTTCTTTAAAGTTTGTCTTGAATTTTATTTGTACTTCACCACTGACGATCTTTGCAAATTGTTATGAGACACATATTCTAGGTCGCTTATCTTTTCAACCAGTTAAATGCATTTGATCAATTTGATTTGCATTTTAGTCAGTTTTAGGGCCAATGAGACCAGTAATCCACTATTAGGCCATGCAAAAATGCCTGATTGTTGCCTTGATATTAAATGAACATTAAATTTGTGGTAATAAATAATAAATGCTTTGGCTCGCTCTGATTTATTCCAGTTCAAAAACTAAAAAAGCGCTTATAAATAATAAATTTGCCCTCTCGCCCCGATTTTTGAAAAAAAAGGCCTGTAAAACAGACTATTTATTTTGTATGACCTTATGTATACATTTTTTTTTGCAGAGATGTAGAGCTACAGAGCATGATGCTCCTATAGCTAGATATTACGAACGGTTAGCTACAGTCCAAGCACGTGGGTCACAAGCTAGTCACCAAGTACTGCGAGATGTACTCAAAGATGTACAAAATAATATGGTACCAAAAGGACTATTTAAAGAATGGGCTCTACATACTTTCCTAAACGCTACCGATTATTGGACTTTTAGAAAAACGGTAAGTTATATTTAGACTTTAAGATACACCAAACCTGATGCAGGAGCCAGGTTCGCTCTGCAAATTAGATGCTTGCTTGTTATTCTTGTTCAGAGTTCATGTTAAAATCTTGAATATGCTATTACTCTCTTAGTTTTCAACTGATTTTGATGAAACTTAAAATGGATGTTATTGGACCTAAATCGAAAGGTTTGAGAAAGTTTAGTTTACTTCTGATTAAATTTAAGGCTTTTTCAAGATTTAGGCCTCTTACATCAGTTTTGAGGAGTTATCGCCCTTTAACCTCTATCAACATCAATTACTCGTAAACACTCCGTCCGTCGGTCCGTCTGTCTGTCACCATTTGCTTGTAAACGCTCTAAATAGAATTGATGGAATCAAATGAAATTCGGTATGTGTATACATATTCATAAAACGAAGATTAAATTCGAATTTGAGCTATTTAGTTTTCAACCAATTTTGATGAAACTTAAAATGGATGTTTCGTTTTTACCACCTGCATGCTGTGGTCCACTATCTTCTGGTCATGTCATCATATTTTAATCCTTTAGCGACATTTCTTTAATGTCATTATCTTTTGTTGTTTTCAGATGACGATACAGTTAGCGTTAATGGGATTTTCAGAATTTATATTGTATTTATCCAGAATGAATCCAGATATGATGTATTTACACCAAGATTGCGGCTTTTTAAATATTTCCTATTTCAAATTTGATTTAGATGATCATACAGGTAGGTTGAGGAAACCTCTTTCTCCTTTAAAGTGATACTACGTCTTAGATTGAACAGAAAATTTAATTCTCAAGAATGGTCAAAATGAGTATATATTCATCAGTGAACTTACCTGGTGTCATAAAGTTACAACAGAATCCCTGTAAAATCTGGAAAATTGGAAAATTCATAAAACTATGTAATTATTGAAAAACGTTTAATCATAATATTAAGTGTTTTTCAATAGTTAATTGCATTTTTATGGATAATTACTAAGTTTTTTGCATTTATCGGATTATATAAGGATCCTGTTATGTTATTTATGACACCAGGTATATCTACTGATGAATATATGCTCTTATTGGCTAAGTTTAAAATTTTAAAATTTTATGTTTATTCTAAGACGTAGTATAAGTTTTAGTAATTTTATTGAATCAACACCTTATGTGACTTGAAAATTGATTTCAAAAATCAGGGTGAGAGGGCGAATTTATTATTTATAAGTGCTTTTTTAGATTTTCAACTGGGCGAATAAATCTGAGCGAGCCAAAGCATTTATTATTTATTACCACAAATTTATTGTACATTTAATATTAAGGCAACAATCAGGTATTTTTAGGCCTGTAAAACAGACTATTTATTTTATATGGCCTTATTAATGATAAATATTTTAATTCAGCCTAGTAAATGAAGCTGTTTCTTCCTTTAATAGCTCATTGACCACAAGATGGCTTTTCCTTTCTGCATTAACCTTATCAGGTGCAAATTTAAAGATGGTTTTCCTTATTTTTTAGTGTCAAATTAAGCAAACTATTTGAATAATTGGTGTTTTTAATGAATTATCATGTATTCTTAATCATATCATTATGTTCTTATTGCATATAATTAAGAGTTTTAACCAATCATAAATATCCATGTATGTACAGTCTGGATAAACAAAAAAAGACTTGTTGATCTTTCTTGATCGGTCACTCATTGGAATTCTGCTGGTAGTTCTCTTCTAATTTAGCTAATTATGAATTAATTATGGACATGTGAGACAAACTGGTATTTTTCCAAGTTATTAGAACACTTCTACTTTCTATTCATATAAGTATTAGCATTTTCATTTTCATAAATGAATATAAGGGAACCCATCTTTAAGGTCATAAAATTACTTTGATTTTATTATGACAAAATACTCTGTATCTTATCTTCAGGTGAACTGGATGCTAACAGACCAGTACCTTTCCGTTTGACACCAAATATAACAGAATTTATTACTACGATGGGTGTTAATGGACCACTTACAGCATGTATGGTAGCTATAGCCAGATGTTTTGTCCAACCACAGTATAAATTACCCAGTTTTCTCCGGGCTATTTTACGAGATGAATTCATAACTTGGCACAAAAAGGTAAATAACATGCAAATTTTTTCCTTAAAGCTAGGGGTCCTGTCCGTCCATTCACATTTCTTGTAGGCGCAATACAGGCTACAGTTTTTATTTGATCTTGATGAAACTTGGTATGCATGTATATATTGATGAGATCTCGGTCAAGTTCGAAATTTGTATCAATTGGATAAGCGGTTTCAGAGTTATTGCCCTTTACTTAGTAAAAACACACAGGCACAATAGAGAGTACAGCTTTTATCCAATCTTGATGAAACTAGATATGCATGTATAGATTAATGAGATCTCAGTCAAGTTAGAAATTGGTAATATTTGGATGAACCGTTTCAGAGTTATTGCCCTTGTGTGTACAGCGATGAAACATTGTTCATGTTTGAATTTGATGATAACTTGATGAACTGTTTCAGGTTTTTATAGATGATTTTAAAATTATTTGAAAATTCATTATTAAGCCACTAAAGATTTTGTTATCATTTCTGACAGCTGGTAGTGGGAGTACGTTACCTTGCCAGGCAAGCTATCTTTCTTAAAGCTAGGGGTCCTGTATATAAGCGTAGGTCAAGATTTTATGATATATTCTAGTCTTTCAATGGGGTTTCCCCTAGATCCCTCCACAAAAGAAATTTTTTTTTAAAAAATAGAAAGTCGGCTAGTACTGCTGTCCTGAAAAAAAAAAAAATTCATTTGTGGCCTGATCAGGTGCAGAAACACGGGATGAAAATACCCTTTTATATCATGTAGCTACGTTATGGTAGGTAGTTTCTGCACTGTATGAGTTAATGGACAATCCCATTGGTTCACGTTCTAAAATTATAATTACGTATAATAATGCTCAGAGTTAATGGGAGCCGCGGTGGCTCGGTGAGTTAGATGCTTGCTCGCTAACCTGAAGGTCCAGGGTTCAATCCCGGCATAGGTCGAGATAATACCTTCGGATTTTTCAACCCGGTTTCCCCCTGTCAGTGATGCAGGTACGAGGGGCTGACATGGAAAAAGTGTCTAGTCGTTCGGATGGGACAATAAACCGAGGCCCCGTGTGCTACAGACTGTGCACGTTAAAGTTCCCTCGACAGTTGGAAATCTAAATAGAGCAGGTTAATGCCGCTGTCCTGGCAAAATTTCCCTCATTGCACCCTGCATGGCGTTACCCGTCTTCATTAGCTCACATGGTGCAGAAGAGTAGGACGTAAAACTCGATTCATTTCATTTCATTGCACCCTTCATGGCGTTACCCGTCTTCATTAGCCCACATGGTGCAGAAAAGTAGGACGTAAAACTCGATTCATTTCATTTTTATTTGCTGAGTTAATCAATCATTACTCATTGAACTATGATTATAGAGAGAAGAAGAAACCAATGCTGGTGTAGAACCAGTTGATATGGAAGGTAGTCAGCTGATAACTATGGTCAATAAAGCTGTTCAAGCCATCACAACAAGGTTACAAAGTAAGTAGAATAGTATTAATACTTGCCTAGTAATGTGGTTGAAGAAAATTTGGTATCATAGACTTGGCTACTGTAACCAAGTAACTTTGTAACCATACTGCAACCTGTAATTTTTTTTTTTGACAATGTTACTGTGTACCATTTTTCCTGGTGACTATATTGCTGTGACAAATTGACCTTGTGACCAACATTACTGTGACCAATTTTCCTTGTGACCATATTACTGTGACCAATTTTCCTTGTGACTATATTGTTGCCAATGTTCTCTTAAGACCAATTGTCCTTGTTACTGTGTAAAATTTCCCTGGTGACCATATTAATGTGACAAATTTACCTTGTGAACAATTTACCTTGTGACTATATTATCGTGACAAATTTACCTTGTGACCATATTCTCTTGACCAATTTTCCTTGTGACCATATTCTCGTGACCAATTTTCCTTGTGACCATATTACTGTGACCAATTTTCCTTGTGACCATATTTTGGCCAATGTTCTCTGACAATGTTACTGTGTGAAATTTTCCTGTGACCAAATTAATGTGACAAATTTACCTTGTGACCAATTTTCCTTGTGACCATATTTTGGCCAATTTTCTCTTAAGACCAACTTTCCTTGTGACCAATTTTTCTTTGACAATGTTACTGTGTAAAATTTTCCTGTGACCATATTAATGTGACCAATTTTCCTTGTGACCAATTTTTCTTTGACAATGTTACTGTGTAAAATTTTCCTGGTGACCAAATTAATGTGACAAATTTACCTTGTGACCATATTCTTGTGACTGATGTTCCTCTTGACCATATTATTGTAACCTTGTGACCATTCTTTAGTGACAAATTTGCCGTTACTACGACCAATTAGCTTCAGATGTCAATAGTGCCCAAGCAATGCACATTATTTGGTAATCATGTGGGTGTATTACAAGCTCTGTCTCTGTAGGTTATCATTCTACATTGGAATTCTATATTTGATATTTTAGACCTAGCAACATTTGATGGTGCAGAAAGTCGTGTTAGTACATTAGTAGCAGCTGCAGTAAGTCATGATAATTTATGCCGTATGGATCCAGCTTGGCACCCTTGGCTATAGACATACTGAAAAGATTATGGATAGATTGATATTTTGTGTTTGTGGTGGAAACACGACTAGATAGATGTATATTGCATTTTATAGTATAATAAATCTTTTTCAATTCAATTCTGGATGTTTCGCTGGTGTCTAATTTCAATCATTTCAGGCTTCACAATACATTATATTACAGATATACCGAATAACATATTGTGTATTACTATTAAAGTGATACTATGTCTTAGAATAAACATAAAATTGAAGAATTTTAAACTTGGCGAAAAAGAGCCAGTAGATATACCTGGTGTCATAAATAACATAACAGGATCCTTATATAATCCAATAAATCCAAAAAACTTAGTAATTATCCATAAATATGCAATTAACTATTGAAAAACACTTAATATCAAGATTAAGCGTTTTTCAATAATTACTTAGTTTTATGAATTTTCCAATTTTCTAGATTTTACAGGGATTCTGTTGTAACTTTATGACACCAGGTAAGTTTACTGATGAATATATACTCATATTGACCATTTCGAGAACTTAAATTTTATGTTCATTCTAAGACGTAGTATCACTTTAAATATGTATTAATGATATACCATTATGAAACAACATGTAATAGATATATGTTTTCATGTATCATTTTATATTACATGTATCAGATAATTACATATAAACCATTATCATATCTATATGTAATAGATGTATGTATTACATGTATTAGATAAGTTTACTGATTATCATTTCATTTCTTACTACAATGTATCATAATTATTATTCCATATGTATCGTGATGATCATTACATATGTATCATGGTAATCATTTTATTACATATGTATCATGATAATCATTTTATTACATATGTATCATGATAATCATTTTATTACGTATGTATCATGATAATCATTTCATTTCATTCTTCATGTATCATTTTATACTTCATGTACATAATGTATCATTTTTACCATGTATTTGACTGAGCATTACATCATTAAAGATGGGTTCCCTTATTTTCTTTTATGAAAATACTAATACTTATAGAAAGTAGAGGTGTTCTAATGACTTGGAAAAATACCAGTTTGTCTCACATGTCCATAATTAATTCATAATTAGCTAAATTAGAAGAGAATTACCAGCAGAATTCCAATGAGTGACTGATCAAGAAATGTCAACAAGTCTTTTTTTTTGTTTATCCAGACTGTATATACATGGACATTTATGATTGGTTAAAACTCTAAATTATATGCAATAAGAACATAATGATATGATTAAGAATACACGATAATTCATTAGAAACACCAATTAATCAAATAGTTTGCTTAATTCGATACTAAAAAATAAGGAAACCCATCTTTAAGTGCAACATTTCTTTTTTTCATAAGTTCCTTCATGTAAACGGATTTTTGTCATTTCTACTAGCTAAGAAGTGGTCATGAAGTTTTTAATATCCAAATTTATTACAATCATCAAATTTAGAAATATAAAAATCCGGATTTAATAGTTGAAACTGATGATGTATTTTCATGGTTATAGTTTTCTCATAGCAAACTGTTATTTTATATTTTTGTAATTGAATCATGAGTAAAGTTACTAGTAAACTTGTTGTTATCATTGCATGCATGTGTAATCTACCGATGTTGTCGGGTTTCTACCGCTTTTGCATGTTGTCCACCGCTCTACCGACGGGATACCCAACTCTACCGATTTTTTGGGGGTTTTTTTGACAAATTTTCACAGGGACCTACAGTTTTCAATGTCCAAATTCTCTACCATAAATCAACAAAATATCTATCATTACTTGTTTCTTGATTGCCACAGTAATACGGGCACACGGTTCCTAATTCAGGGACTTGGAAAAACACCTAAAACCTAATTTCGTATCGGCCATAAAAATCGAAAATGACAAATACCTAACATTGCTATAAAAAAAAATCTCAATTAGGCTCAACTTTTAGAGTAAGTTATTTGTAATTTTCGGTCTACCTGGCCTACAAAGAGGAAATTGCCCATATTTCAAAACCAAATTCCTAACCTATGACAGATATTTGTGTTCTGTTTTTTCTCAAATGTTTAAATAGTCAATGTGGATATTGACCTGTGCTTTATAGGCTATATAGACCGAAATGTCTAACTTGCAAGTTTCTAACTTTTCCCAAATATCCAGATAGTTATTGTTGAAATGTCCCTACTCCGTATACTAGCACCGCTGGTAGGATGACAAGTTAACGTTGTATGTATAAGGAATCCATAGTGGGCTAGCAATTACTTGTAAGCTTATTAAAGTAGAGTTGCTTCCCATTATGAATTTCCATGACGGTATTTCCAACAGAAAGCCTGTATTAATCCGAATATTCCAAACATTAGTCTTTACAGAATATTGTTGTTAGTATTAATCATTTGTATATTTTTTTATTTGTTCAACAGTGCTTTGGTCATATATTTAGGGCTGCAACGATTCTTGAAGTTGCGATTCGATACACCATACGATATGAATCCGACGATACGATTTATTGTGATAATTATCGCGATTCATTGATTAGAAGAAGGACAGAGAAAAAATAGTAGAAATTTGTAAAATTACTAACAAGTTTGTCAATATTAAACACTTGAGAACATTTAGAAATAAGGAATTGTGAAAAAACAGTCCCAATTTTTTAAGTCAGAAATGAATTTGTATAAATTTTGATGTGAAAATCATACTTGAAAAATGAAAACATGACACAATTTCTTATACACACAAGGATTCTGTGTTATTTGTTATTAAATGAGACTAAGAATTAATCGTGCCGATACATCACGATTATTTTTATCCAACGCAATGCATCTATCAGACAGAAAGAATCGCGGTTCATCGATTCATCGGTGAATATTTTTGCAGCCCTAGTCGAATATTTGCAATAAAGTATAACGTATACCCAGTATTTTGGCTAGTGGAGATAAAATCTAACTGGTCTGACCGCGTCACATTAGTGGTAAGGAACAAAAATAGTACATCTCTTCAATAGTAAATCTCTTCAATAGTAAATCTCTTCAAATCTACCCTTCAATACATAATACGAGACACACCAACCCTTTTAAAACCGGACACTAACCCTTTAATGTGAATCACATCTAACTTTCCACATGAACCGTGTACCCTTTTACAATTACCCCTTAATATGGACAATTACCCCTTAATATGGACCAGTCTACCATACAATATGGACCTGTCTACCATTTAATATGGACCAGTCTACCATACAATATGGATCAGTCTACCATACAATATGGACCTGTCTACCATTCAATATGGACCTGTCTACCATACAATATGGACCTGTCTACCATTCAATATGGACCAGTCTACCATACAATATGGATCAGTCTACCATACAATATGGACCAGTCTACCATACAATATGGACCTGTGTACCATACAATATGGACCTGTCTACCATACAATAAGGACCTGTCTACCATTCAATATGGACCTGTCTACCATACAATATGGACTTGTCTACCATACAATAAGGACCTGTTTATTTTACGATATGGACCTGTCTACCATACAATAAGAAAAAACAACTATTTACAAGGGAACCTTTTAATATGAACAACCTTAATGAAACGTGAACTTGTCTTATCTGTCCATCAGATATACGCTTCATCTATTTAGCAGTTTTTTTCGACTTCTCACCCCATCCCTATTATTTCAGTTGCCACGACTGGTGTTTTCGAGTCTTTACCCCTCGATACGATCCACCAATGTAAAAAATACACTCATATTTAACGCTATCCAGTAAAGGTAACATTACGTCACGTGTGATTTTAACTAGGTCAGACTTGTCCTATATCTTATGTAGAATGATATGAATTTAGTCTCCGCGAGCACTTCGAATATTTTCTCCGAGTCAGTAATTTCAAATGGATAGCTTTTAAACAAGGATAACGATATATATGTATATGCGTACTTTGAATTTTGTGAGTATATTTTTATTGCTATATTTCATTTTATTTGTGAAATATTTGGTTTGCAATCAATGAAATGGATGAGTGGAGTTTTACGTCCTACTTTTCTCCACATGTGGACTAATGAAGACGGGCAACGCCATGCAGGGTGCGGTGAGGGAAAAACCTATGCCGGGATTGAACCCTGGACTCCTTGGTTTGCACTCAGATCAGTGGATCTGTTCTTCAATACTGTCCCTTGATTCACATTTCCTTCGTTTCTTATCTAAAAATTTGCTAAATGCTTAATGACGTAAGTTGTTTGGGGTAAATGATCGCGTGACAATTAAACGATGATCACTTTTATCAGGTATGTATTAAATGGTCATCTATACAATTTTGCTTCAAAACGCCGACGCATAGGGGCTTATCAGAGGGGGAGGGGGGGGGGGGGTGGACAGTCAACATTCTGAGCAGGATTGCATAGGCATAGGTATAACCATAAGCATAGCCATATTGTGTGAACGGCAGTAAAATTCCAAAATTTTAGACATGACGGAACCACATAGGTACCCATTGACATCGGCGTAATTAGGTCAAAGGAGGATAGTGGTGCTATAGCTTTGTGTGGGTACGATGTATCCTTGGACCAATAAAAGCGCCAGCACCAATGTGGAGATGTAGTAAAATCATGCATATGCAGAGAGATATGCATCCCACAATATTGTCATCTTTAGAGGGCATAGTTGATCAGGTATGGTGGTGGTATTTTATTTAAAGTGATACTACGTCTTAGAATGAAAATAAAATTTAAGTTCTCGAAATGGTCAATATGAGTATATATTCATCAGTGAACTTACCTGGTGTCTTAAAGTTACAACAGAATCCCTGTAAAATCTGGAAAATTGGAAAATTCATAAAACTAAGTAATTATTGAAAAACGCTTAATCTTGATATTAAGCGTTTTTCAATAGTTAATTGCATATTTATGGATAATTACTAAGTTTTTTGGATTTATTGGATTATATAAGGATCCTGTTATGTTATTTATGACACCAGGTATATCTACTGGCCCTTATTCGCCAAG